AAGGCCGATATCAAATTAAATGAAGAGAAACTCAAAGCATTTTCACTAAAATCAGGAATAAGATAAGGATTTCCACTCTATCCCTATCCATTCATCATAATAATTGAAATATTTTTTTTTTGATTTTTCGAGACAGGGTTTCTTCGTAGCTTTTGGTTCCTGTCTTGGAACTAGCTCTTGTAGAACAGGCTGGCCTCGAACTCACAGAGATCCGTCTGCCTCTACCTCCCAAGTGCTGGGATTAAAGGCTTGCACCACCACTGCCTGGCTTTGAAATTATTTTTAAACTTGAAATCTACTTAAAATTTAGGAATGAGTAAGAATTCATATTATTTTATTTATAGCATGTTTCAATTTATTTTTTGCCAGTTACAGGAAGAATTTTTTTTCTCCCAAATCTTTCTTGACTTCCACATATAGCTTTGCCACTTTTTGTCAGTCATATTGAAACTACTCTTTATATTTGATTCTTTTTAAGAATTATATTTAAAATTTATGTATATGTTGGTTTGCCTGCAAATGTGGTGCAAACAAGTGTGTCTGGGTAGCTGAGGTAGTTAGAATAAGGAATATGAAACCCTAGTGCTGGAATTGTTGGAGAGTTGAAGCAGTCTGATGTGAATGCTGTGACCCAAACTCACGCCCTCTGCAGAAACAGCTAGCCCTCTTAACTGCTGAGACCCACACTTAATCCCAGTCCACTAACAAATTCTTTCCTAGAAATAATCACAATTCTTCTAGAGTAAAAGAACAGTGTGTCTCTCAAGCCAGGCATTGGTTCTCTATGCAAACTGGGTTACCCACTGTCTTAATTGACATTTGCAGAATAAGGGACAAGTATTCGTGTTCCATTCAGACTCCTAATAGGACTATGCGACTTTCTAAATAGTCTTGTTGTTGGCATGAGGGGGGCCAGTAGTCATACAACAGATGGCAGGGCAGGGTTAAATTGGGAAATGATATGGCCAAACACTTGCCTGTGTGCCCCAACTTTTTTTCCCTTTAAGATTTCTCTGTTCTGCCACTTGGTGGCGCCCACACCCTCCCCATGTGTCTTTCCACTTCTCAGTCAGGCCCAGTCTGAAGTAAAAAGAGGAGCTTGTACATCCATAGGAGGGGGGGTATTTGCATGGAGCCAGCCCACACTTAGACACACAGGGACACATAAAAAGGATGCCCAGCTATAGTTAATTCACTGGACTCAGGAAGACAATTCTGAGTGTCTTCACCATGGCTTGGGCTCCACTACTCTTCTTCTTCCTTACTCACTTAACAGGTGGGTAGATTTAAGGGATTCTAGGAGAGAAACTGTTTGCTGTTGGGATCTTTAGCCCATATTCTTCCTGGTGAATGAGGCTGTTTTTCCTTACTAAATTTTATTATCTTCTTTTTACAGGATCATGTGACCAGTTTGTGTTAACTCAACCAAGCTCTGTGTCTGGGTCTCTTGGGAGTACAGTCACCATCTCCTGCAAGCGCAGCAGTGGTAACATTGGAGGCAGCTATGTGCACTGGTACCAGCAGCACAATGGAAGGGCTCGCTATCTATGATCTATGACAATAAAAGACCATCTGGGATTCCTGACCGGTTCTCTGGCTCCATTCACAGCTCCTCAAATTCAGCCTCACTGACCATCACTGCTCTGCAGATTGAGGATGAGGCTGACTACTACTGCCAATCTTATAGACACAGTGGTGAGAATTATGGGGAAGTAAGACAAAAACTCCCCAGAGCATCAGTTGTGAAATCATTTGTGAAAAGGAGTACTTTTAGTTCATGTCTCCTATTGGGATTTCCAAGTCATAATTGCTTCTAGGTTCACTGCAAGATTCCAGTTTCTCCTCCCACATGTGGATGACTGCACTCTACACATTTAAGTTCAACCCATGGAGTAGAAATAGTTAAAAACAGGAATTCTGGAGGGCAATATTACTGACATTTTGTGTCAGGGACTTCATTACACATATAAGTAATTTAGTTTCATCATTGACCATGTCACTTGCATATTTTTATGTTTCCCTCCATTATGACATCACCAACTCTCTGTGTTGCCAAATTTATCTATAACATGGGAAAGCCACACTTGAGCAAGGCCACTATTTCAAGAAGTCAAAGCCCCTAGCTTTGACTCTCACTTAAGTCACCAAGGCATAAAAATGAAATTTTACCTCTCTGAGATTCTGTCCCTAACTGCTAAGCAATACAATAGCACTGAATTCAAGAGATGATTCTGATGAGGTCATATTCTAATGAGGGCAAAACCTAGGTTATCCAACTCTGTAGAAGACATAACCAAGGTCTATACTATAATGTTAAGGGAAAACCTAGCTTACAAATGAATGTTAAAACCTATGCACAGTAGATATGCAAATGTAATACAGCTCTCCCATCCCATGAACTATCCTGTGTCTGTAAAGCTCTGAAGACTAGAATAAGGAAAGCCGAAAAGGTATACCCTGTGAAAGAACCAAGGAAAACTACAAATTCTGTACGATTAAGGTATATCTATAATATCATTTAGAAGATCTAGGTTCCCATAAGAAAGTGATCAAAATTAAGCACGTCACATTTGTGCATGGACTGAGTGACATTGAGAACAGAAACACATTTGAAAAGCAAAACTAAGCAAACTTTGCATATCCTCTCAATTATTTTACATACAGAATGAAAACAACAACTGACTGGGACAGATAGATTGCTCACTCACCCTAATTCTTCCTTACAGTTTTTTTTCAGTTTTATATAATTTTCCATTTTCTGGATTGTAAACATTATAATTTGCATTTCCCCTTTCAATATCTTTCCCATTCCCCTGGTATAGATAACTAACTGCTCATGGGAAGAGTGAGGAAAGCACTAAGAATAAACTGAGGCAATAATATAAGGAATGGAATTAGTTAAGTGAAACATGTAATTAATTATATAAAAATATGTCTTCTAATGTAATTGTGACAGTGAAGAATAAGGAAAGAGATCAGTTTAGGGTCATCATGGAGGGGGCATAGGAAGACTTGGAGAAGAACTTCTATGCTAATAGAGGAAAGGGTTGAAGCTAATGTGACTACACTGTTTGGTCAGGGATTTGAATCAGTTATCACAGGGCGTCATGCATGGGCACCAGAATCCTGGTTTGGTTAATACTTTAGACCCAATTTGATTATTACATAAAAAGTCAAAAAATATTATGGGGACAAAAAATTGAAAATGTTAAAAAGTATAAAACAGTGCTTTGCTTTGTCCATGTTAGACATGTAGATTTCAGACAACGTGTTTGTGGTATGCAGGATTGGCAGGTAGATGATACTCCTGGAATGCTGGAGTCTCGAGAGAATAAACCAGACATTTTGGAATGCAGTTGTCTTCTGAGGTGAGCAACTTTGGAAGATATTCAGTAGAAGAGACAGTAGAGATATAAAGAAGGAGCTGGGAAAGGAAAGGAACATTGCAGAGAGAAGAAAAGAATTTAAAACTAAAATTGAGTGAGTAGAAGACTTAGCTATGAGTGTGGAATGAGTCTACTTGATTTATTAGATTTTTTAAAAATAATACCAATCCAAATTCCCACTCCCTTCTCTCTTCCCATTCCAGCTACACACCCTCCCACTCCACTCCCATCTAATCCTAAGAGAGGGTAATGCACATTGTTTTGTGGAAGGTCTAAGGCCCTCCATACTACATCTAGGCTGAGCAAGGTAAACATCCAAAGAGAATAGGATCCAAAAAAAGCCAATATATGCAGTAGTGATATAAATCCCGGTGTTACTGCCAGTGTCCCCTCAGTCTGCCCCAATTATACAACTATCAACCACACTCAAAGGGACTAGTTTGGTCCTATGCTTGTTCCTTTCCAGTTCAGCTTGTAGTAGAACGGATTGGTGGGCTGTGTTCCTGGTGCCTGCCTGTTTAAACACCTAAATAACCACACAGAAATTGTATTAATTAAATTACTGCCTGGCCCATTAGTTTTAACCACTTATTGGCTAACTCTTATATATTCGTTTAACCCATCTCCATTAATGTGTATCGCCACTTGACTGTGGCTTACTGACATGAGTCTAATCAGCATCCATCTCAGAGAGCCATGGCGTCTTCCACACTGCCTTCTTCCTCCCAGCATCCAGTCCTATGTTCTCCACCTATTTATGTTCTGCCCTATCAAAAGGCCTAGGTAGTTTCTTTATTTGACCAATGAAAGCAACACATAAAAAGAAGATTCTCCTACACCACCAGCTGGTGTAGCTCAGGTAAACTGTTTCAGTTGGTGTCCTCATCATGGTCTTGACCTCTTTGCTAATATGCTCATTCTTTCCACTCTTCAATTGGACCTTGGGAGCTCAGTCCAGTGCTCTGATGTGGGTCTCTGCCTATGTTTTCATCTGTTGCTGGATGAAGGTACTATGATGATATTTAAGATAATCATCAGTTTGACTACAGGGCAAGGCCAGTTCAGGCATCCTCTCTTTTATTGCTTAGGGTCTTAGCTGGGGTCATCCTTGTTGATTCCTGGGAATTTCTCTAACATCAAGTTTCTTGTTAGTCTCATAATGGCTTCCTAAATCAAGATATCTCTTTCCTTGCTCTCATCTCTGTCAGAGGTATTTTAAAGAGGGTAGAAACCTTAAGCACTGGCAGCTGCCCTGAATTGATGACTCATCCAGCCACCAGATGGCATTAACAGACACAGACTTGCTTTTTTTTTTTTTTTTTTTTTTTTTTTTTTTTTTTTTTTTTTNTTTTTTTTTTTTTTTTTTTTTTTTTTTTTTTTTTTTTTTTTTGCCAGGATCTCAGCTGATTTCTCCTTGCCCAGCAGCATTTTCTGTACATGAGGAAGTAAGTTTCCTCTAACTTTTTTTTTTTTCTCAGCTGGAGCCTAGGCTAATGTTGAAGGAGGAGTTTTCATAGCCTCCAGGACAGGAGATATTTGCATAGGGATCATCCCCTCTGAGGACAGTCACAGATAAGAAGTGACTGCCTTTCAATAGGTTGTGTGGCTCTAGGAGAACTTTCAAGTGTTTCCACCATGACCTGGACTCCAGTTCTCCTCACTTTCCTTGCTCACTGCACAGGTAGCTGTTTGCATGGGAATCTGGGAGTGTGAACAGGAGAAATGATAGTTTCTTCCCAGATACCTAGAAATTGGCCTTGCCTGGATCTCACTAATACTTTGTTTCATTCTACCCTTTCAGGATCTTGGGCTGAGGTTGTATTCACCCAGCCCCAATTTGTGTCAGGATCCTTGGGGCAGAAGATCACCATCTCCTGTACCCGCAGCACTGGGAACATTGAAAGTAATTATGTATACTGGTACCAGAAGCATTCAGCAAGTACACCCCGTCTGCTCATCTACAATTATGATCAAAGACCCTCTGGGGTTCCAGATAGGTTCTCTGGATCCAAGGACAGATCTTCCAACTCTGGCATCTTAACTATCTCCGGACTGCAGGCTGAGGATGAAGCTGACTACCACTGTCTGTCTGGCTATGACAACTATTTCACACAGAGCTTCAGACTTATGGGGAACTGAGACAAAAACTCTCTAGAGAGTCACCACCCTGGCTTACATTCAACCTTGGGAAATCGAGCTTTTATGTCTTGTTTTAGAAATTTTTGTTAGTCTTTTTATGTCCAAAAATACAATACAACTTACTGTCTGTCTGTCTGTCTGTCTGTCTGCCTCTCTCTCTCTCTCTCTCTCTCTCTCTCTCTGTGTGTGTATTCCATGCTAGCCTCA